AAGAGCGCTTCTCTGGAACATTCCGGTCGATGGGTCAATTCGCGATAGTGAGTTTTCTGCGACCGGAGGCCGCTGTGGTTTAAAGTTAGAGTGCAGCAAGAACATTGTTATCGGGCAACCCTGAGGCGGGCTGCTGTCATCCGTCCATGACATTTGCCGCGCGCCTTTGCAATTATCGGCAAATTCACTTTTCTCGATTGTTTGCCCGATTTCAATTGGCCATAATATATGGCGATAATACATAGCAATATGTGGCAATAATATATGGCAATAATATACGGCATCAATATATGGCAACAATATATGGCAATAATATATGGCAATAATATATGGCCATAATATATGGCAATAATTCATGGAATATATTTTTCGTTACAAAAGTCAATGCAAATTTGTGGCATGCACAATGTAATAATAAAAGAGCTCTCTGCGAGCATTGATTCAAACGCTCACCGATGATGATATTGATGATGTCCCATTGCATCCAACTAGTTCCACCAATGTCCGTCCATGTCCTCTGCCGCTCTCCATGTCGCGCAGCATCCATCTTGCAGCGCGTCCCACGTTGATTTCTACACTTTCACCACATTTCTGCGACGCGGTCCATACTTGTATTAGAGCGGCGATATTTGCGTCAATTAACGAATGTTTTACGTCGACATCGGTGGAAACTTTTTACGCACTGCGATACGGACTCTATAAATTCGATCGATGAGGAGCAAGAACTGTGTGAAAATTTATCGACTCGTTCAATGGATTTTTACGGCGTTTTTCGCGATCGCGCCTGAAAAGTCGCGAAAATGCGGGAGTATCGATATCTACGAGAATATTCTCGAATGCATACAAGGAAGGATTAGACAATTAGAAACCGGTCACTCCGAGGGAGCACAAAGAGAAAGAGAGCGAGGCAAAGTCTTCACGCATGATAGTTCCATCACGACGAAGCTTACGTTCGCGATACTTTGGCAAAATGAGAATTTAAGCTTTCTTTGTTAGCAGCGCGGGTAAAAACGCGTATATTGATAACCGCGGTTCGCGATATTCAAAGCACGCGAGCAAGGATACCTCAAGCTCGGCGTGCGCTGGCGCATTTTCTGCGCGCATTATACGCTACTCGAGACAATAGAGATCGTGATGAATGGACAAATAATTCTACAGCCTGTTTTGGAAATAAAAGAAAAGTAGCCAACGGTATCGGCATTTATGCGTATGAATATATTTTACACAGACAACTGAATATTGTCAAATAATTGTCGTTAAATAATTCTGCGGCCCGCTTGAAAAATTAAAATAAAGCAGCTGATGACCGTATCGCGTTTATAGATATGAATATCTCTTATTCAGATGATTGAACATCAAAAGAGAATCATTCGCTATTTTAAATCTCGTATGTAATGCAGGCTATCGATGAAGTAATCCCCTGATTGTTTCGAGCAATGTATTTTATTCAACGTCACAAACATACATGTAAAATCCCAACATGCAAGAATCTATTTGCATTGACTCGAACGATATTTTTTAGTCCCACATCCGTCATGGAGAATTTTGCTTCTCTTTTCACTTTGACTCACCGAAACGACTTGCAGTCAGAGCCGGCCACGTTCCGCTTCAACTCTGTAACAAAAAATTCACATTCGCTCATCAGATTTGACCAACGAGTGCAGGCAAGTAAAAGAATAGTTTACCCTCTGCGATCGTAATTCAAGTCGAGCCGGAAATTATATCCCAGCTCTAGATCGCCAAGGGTCAAACAGAGGACTACAGTAAACTTGTAAACTTACCTTCAAGCCGACTCTGCTTGGCCCGAATCGGATCCTCCGGTGCGGCATCCGCGTCCGCCGGATTACTGTTGCTTTCCGCAACAACTGAAACAGAAAAATAATTTTCTCAATTGATAACCTGCAGTAGAGAGAGAATATCTTTGATCGGGACGAATCGAAAATACGGAAATATTTTGATATAGGATTTTATCTTTATATTTTTGTTCCAACATTGAAAATTTAAATGAGACTTGAAGCTTTCAAGAGAGCTGATGAGGAACAAGTTCCAAAGGCAAAGATCGTAAAGGGTTGAACACAGATGTGTAGGAAACTTGTAAACTTTACCTTCCGACCGACTCTGCTTGACCCGAACCGGATCCTCCGGTGCGGCATCCGTATCTGCCGGATTGTTGTTGCTTTCCGCAACAACTAAAACAGAAAAGTAGTTTCCCCAGTTGATAGTCTGCGGTACAGAGAGAATATCTTTGATCGAGATGAATTGAAAATACGGAAATATTTTGATATGGGATTTTTATCTTTATATTTTTGTTCCAACATTGAAAATTTAAATGAAACATGAAGCTTTCAAGAAAGCTGATGAGGAACAAGTTGCAAAGGCAAAGATTGTAAAGAGTTGAACATCGATGTGTAGGAAACTTGTAAACTTTACCTTCCGGCCGACCCTGCTCTGCCCGAACCGGATCCTCCGGTGCGGCATCCGCGTCCGCCAGACTTGCTTCCCGCAACGTCTGAAACAAAAATTTAGCGTTCTTAGTTGGTTAGCTGCGGTAAAGAATGTTTGGTCGGGATAAGTGGAGAATATTCGCTACAGTTTTTTTTTCTTCATTGACATTGAAAGTCTAGATGGGACTTAGAGCTCTCGAAAGAGCTGACGAAAAAAAAATGACAACAAGAAGCGGAGACAACAGTTGTGTGCTCTCGAAAATACTCTTTTACGAATGGACATTTAAATTTAGATCCCGTAACGAGAGTAAACAGATTTGAAAGAAGTGCTGACCGAAAACAAGAAAGGTCGCAATCTAAGAAGCGGTATGACGTTGAATATTCTACACAAGATCGATATGCTCAAACAGTTGGGAATGATTCAGAACGTTTGATTGAGAACATGATGAATTCGAGATCCACGTTCATGGACCGTTATCCGTCTCTGTCTGGATCAATATCTTTTGTATACAACAACGCAATAAATAGATAGACAGACAGAGATTGACGAGAGTAATTGCAAATTCATAAAGTGATGATTACTAGTCGGATGATGACGGATTGTAAATGCCGAGCGCGAAATTCCGACTTCTTATTCCTGGAAAATTCGTCAAACGTACGCTCTCGTTATCGGAGACCTCCAGCATAATAAATGATTCCACATACCTGGAAACGTGATGTATCGCTGCCGGCGTTCTGCTTCCCGACTACTGAAGTTCTTCGGATTTCACTCGCTCACGCTTCTAATGCCGATACTCGCGATTCGACCGTGCGGTTAATGAACGCGATGCCGATTGAGTATCTCGAGGACCGACGAGATATATTTCTTTTAATTACACGAGACGGAAATGACGAGCGCGTCGCGCACGGCTGCTGTTGATGGAATGAGGTCGAATACACGAGGTGCGCGAGTATTATAATACGAAGGGCAAAAAGTGTCGTCGCTCGCGAGCCGATCAACACAATCGGCGCGATATAAACCTTGCGGGCCTCGGCGGTGTTTGAGGCAAGAGAGACTTGCCTTTGAGCGTCTCTTCTTTTCTCGAAGGTTCCGGAACGACGAGGGGAATGCGAGGAGGTCTTTCAACTGTACGCGACATTGATGCACTCTATTTATTGATTACTGAAAATAAAGAAAATTACTCTGTCAAAGTATCGGACATTTGTTAGCTTTATATTAATTAAAGAGGAATGTATACGATTAGAAAATGTGTTAGCAACTAATTGTACAGAGTGTAAGTTGTTATGACGCCGTTTTCAGAGAATAATTAAAGGTCATGGTAGCGTTAAAGAATGGAATTTCATCCCATGCGAATTTTGTCTCGTTCTTATTAAATGTTAGTCGTGTATAAAATGTCATATTTAAAAGTATTGTTTCGCATTCACGAGATTTTGTCGTGAATTCTGCTTTGCAGGAATCTCAGATTGGATCGCGGGCCAATACTTTTCAATGCGACGGGGAATAGAATGTGAAAATCTTGTATGCCTCTGAATCCGAAAACAATTAAGAGAAGAAGTGAATACTTTTCAATACGAAAGTTCGCATTTGAATATTATCGATTGCGATTGAATACAAGGCATATTTGAAATGAATTGAATCCTTATTAATGCGAAGCATTTACCACTGCCATCTCGCATTTAACGCGGTGAAATTTAATGGGAACTAATACTTTTTAGTCCCTTTCTTCGGATCAGAAAGCAGAATTCAGACGTATTCAAAATGTCAATACTTTTTAATATGTTTCAGTTCGACATTTTATACAGGGAGATTATCCGCTGCGGACAATAACTCTTCTACTTTTCATCTAATATTCAATGATGATAAATAACATTTAATTGCATTCGTTTGGCTTTTTTTATTTCGAAAATAAGAAAATATATACCATGAGATTTTACCCATGACAACATCAACTTTGATGCTTTTTTTAAAAGTTCAAATATTTCGTCGATTCGCGGGATATTTATAATCGGAGTCTCGTCGCGTTAATTAACACGTACTCCTCCGAGCGGATCGAATGCTCACCGACGGCCACTGTCAGTGCCACGAGCGAATGTCCGGAACGGACGGGATGCTGAATTAAGAAACAGAACGAAATGAACGGGACACGGGCAACGATATCATGCGTCTCCATACATGTCAAATTGTTTATTATAGAAGAGACTTTGATACGGCAATATATATTCGATTTAACATTTAATACGTACTTTTGTTTTTCTGCTCCTCCCCCCCCCCCCGCTATTTTTAGACCACCGGGCATAGTCTGGCATAGAGATGGCAACTATGGTTGCAGCATGGACATAAACCGCCTGAAAATGGATGTATCATGGACTTCCACCACATGCAGATTTTACCACCGAGACCTGAAAGTGGATGTACTTATCGTAGTTCCTCTCTCAAAAGGGGTGCAGATGGCGTCCTTTCCCAGTGCGGAAAGTCGGTGTCGCAGAAAATGTCGTGTTGGCCGCTCTCAAGTTTCTCTCTGGTTAAAGTCTTCTTAACCAATATCGTGAGTCGATATCGATAGGAGCTAGGAAATAATCCAAGCGCCACCGTCGTAGGCGTTATGAAATACGAAATAAATGATCCCACAGCTGGCGGTGACGCGAGACTTGTTAGCGTTTTTTCCTTTTTTCTACTGGAAGTGGCCGAAAATAAAGATACCACTGTAAAACTAAAAAAACAATCATTTTTGGGGGTACTTCCGATGGAGAGAAAATTCGAGAAAATTGTTAACCTTCGTTCCTTACGCTGGCTCTAATCGTAGCACTAGAATTTTGTTTCTTTTTCCTGCAATATTGAATTATATACTTGTTTCACTCTAAGAGCTGAAAGTGCAATCCAGTTCAGTGAGAAAGAACAGACCTCACGTGATTAAATGAGACTATCAATGTCTATATATAGTCTATATATAATGCTTAAGATAACGGTATTATTTACCGTTCAGAATCACTTAATAACCAGTCCACTTAATAACCAGTTAATTTCCTTTTAATTTCCTAACATTAATTTCCAAGATGGAAAAGACACCTTTGGATTCAGGCAAATTGGATATTTCAAAAAAGATACTATATCAACCTCCTGTTACAGAATTAATAAGTGGTAATTATGAAATACTTATAATTGTAATGAATAAGTTTAGCAAGAGATAATGTGATTTTAACTTTATTATGTAATGAAAGTTCTGACAGATGGATTAACTGCAAACTTTGAAAAAGTTATTGTTAAGCTTGGTAGGTGTCCACGGGATCCTGAAAGGCAGCCTAATCAATATGGTATCAATGAAGAAAATATATAAGTAACCTGAATTTTGTTAAATCTTATATTTTTAAATTACCAAGTCATGTTTCCAGATTTATGTGGTGATCCAACTATTTTGGAGATTGGAGGCCCAGCATACCTCCTACCTCTTGCCCAGAAGGATAAATTCTACAATATTGAAACGTTATTGCGCCGCATAGATTATCATGGGAGTGCATTTGTCATAGGTGCAGGAGCTGGATTATGGCCACATACAACTGATGGCAGTAATTGTGAAGTATGTATGACAATAAAAATTACAATTGTGAGTTAATACTTTTAATTTCTCAATCGAGAAGATTTACAAGATTTTTTTGTTACAGCTTATTATACATCATCATATAAATACACAGATAGGTTCAGTAGTAAATAATTCTCGTTATGCATTTGTGGATAAGTGTACTGGAGAATGTGTGGTTGCTCAACATCTAAGTCACAATGAACAACACCAAGCAACCTGTCCAATATTGGCTAATTTATATGTATGTAAAGGAGAACCAGGAATGGTTATAAAGGTATATGCTAAGAAGCGCACTGGAAAGTTGGATTTTATAGCGAGTATGCAAAAGGCATTGGGAAATTATTATAAGGATGAACTTGTTGGTAAGTTTATTCTGAACTATTGTCAGAATTATACTACAAAACTGGGTCATAGAATAGAAACTCTCAAGAAATTATTTATAACTATTTTCAATAGTCTACTTATAAATTTAGGTTTGGGTGGTATGTTTACCATGAGGAATGGGAAGATCAAGCAACATGTTATGCCGGATTATTCAAATACTCCATTGACTACTGAGGCTCAACTTAATGATTGGTTACATTTTTATGAAATGAAAACCCCTTTAACAGCTGTTGGTACATTTGTCAGTGCAGAAACAGTAAGTAATATACCAAAGATAATATTAAAACTTAGAAAGATATTAAACATAGGTATGAAAAATTTGCTTGCTTTGTATATTTCATATTCAAAAGCAAATTCTTTGCAGTTTTCACAAATATTTAACAGCAATTACAAAAATTTGAAATAGTAATCTTCAAATTAGTTTTAAATTATCACTTATGCTCAATATCATTTGATCCCAAACTAAAAGTATTTGTTCGTTCTTTTTCAGGAATTGGATCTCAGGGTTCAACATTTCCACAGCTTTGCTCATAACAATAAAATGGCAGGACATTATCATATTGATACTACACCAGACACTATCGAATATGAAGGTTATTTTAATATAGCAAGTGTACTTTATCGTGTCGATCAGCCTACCAATAAATTGCAGTTTGGCAAAGATTGATTCTGTATAAAATATATATTTCAAGGTATTGTAATGAGTTAGATTTTATCAATCAGTTTTACTTGCAAAACAACGGGGACCACTATTAGCAACATGAATGCAGAATATTATTTTTTTTAATATAGAAATATTCAGAGAGAACTATCTGACATATATATATATATATGCTGGAAGGCGTTTCATATAGTTTTTTTTGTTTTGTTGAATTTTATTTTATTTTATAAGCTTTATAAACTGGTTTCCCCTCTTATTATAATTAACTTTTCACATTCTCTGTAATCTGTAATAAATATGATTATATATTTTTGATTAATTTTTTTTCTACTTTATATCAATCATTTCTCCCATTTTTTATTCTAATCTACGAATTATAATTATTTATATTTTGTTTGTTTTTCGCGTTAATAACATTCAACAAAAAATAGACAAATCAACTTAAATATTTTTAATTAATTTTTCTGTCTTTTTTAATATGAGTAACTTTTTCAATTTTTTATACTAGTTAAATTTATAATTTTATAACTTTTTTTATATTTCTGTCATTTTTTCTTTCTGTCTGATTATATTATATATATATATGTAATGAAATATCAGCGAGGAATATTTTTAAACTATTAATTAAGATTCAAACCAGAAAGCTTTTTACCAGCATTTTTACGACAAGTTCTTTTATGATATGGTTAGATGGCACTAAATACCTCTTTTAGCTGATAGAATTGTGTTGTATTATTGTCAGATGGCGCTAGGTAGACCGCTGGTTGCATTTGGCTAGTGATGCATGGAAAGAGTTAACGCGAGTGAATATTCATTTTAAATTAGAATTCAACGAATGGACTACTATTAATTTTGAAATCTCTGCTAGGAGCTGACATCGTCTTTGAGAAGAAATAGTTTTAAGTAAGATGAAATCTTTTATTTTCAAGAGGGATTCATTCATACAACAGCAGGTTAGATATTTTTAAATTCATGTATTATGATTCAATGGCAACTTAAGAAATTTTATAACAAATAGTGCAACTTAGCTAAATTAGAGGAACCATTATTGTTAAATTGTTAAATATAAATGGACGATAGATTAGATTTTTATTTTTCAATACAAGAGTAAAATTCTCTCTCTTTTTCTTTCAGTAAAATTCATAGTAATTCATAGATTATAGCGAAAAAATATATCACATTTCGAAGTAAAAAGGTTAGAAACATGTATTCAATATAATACAATATAAATCAAAGAATTTTTAACAATAACAAAACATATATTTAGTACAATACAATACAAAACAAAGAATTTTTAATAATTTTAAAACAGAAACATATATTGAACAATTATATATTCCAAAATGAAATAAAAGTTATCTATTAGACATAAATTACATTTATATATAGGATGTCTACCAAAACGTGTATCAACATTTATGTATAAGAAAACCTGCTATTAAACAAAAATGATTTCGGTACGTTATACTATATAAAGACATAAAGACCATATAAAGACATACAATCTGTCAAATATTTTAATGATTATTGTCATCTACAAATTGCTACAGGATATTTTTATTCAATTTGATAAATTCTATCTGTACGAACGTTGACATGTCATCCAATTATCCAATTACCACATTTACGATTAGAATAATGCCTCAAAATCAATGAAAAACAATGTTATTTTTTTTTACTGCTGACTTTTTCGAAAGAGGAATAATCTTTATCAGCAATATTTATAACTCATTTATAAGAGTAATTTAATTTATACTCTATTTATAATAATATTAAAACGATGACATAGACACACACACCTAATTATGCCTGAGAGCTGGTACCGAGTTCGTACAGAGTTTTTCTTTCACAATGAGGATCTAAATCTTTACACACCATTAAAAATTCATTACTTTTTCTTTTTCCTTTTTTAAAGAATGCCGTCGATCTGTTGTTGTGTATACCTTTGAAGAAAAGCACACAATTGTAATAAAAATATTGAATTTATTCTTGCTTCTAAAATACCTAACCATCATGCGAGGTGTGAGTATTGCATATGAAATGGATATTCGGAGCGTTGAAAAACAATAACGATCACAGTGAGGTCAATGGTGGGGAAAACGATGTGTTTACATTTGAAAAATAGAGACGCGGATCATAAAAACGATGTCGCGATAGAGTTAGGCAGTTAGTCGCTGTTAGACGTTCAAAATAGATGTGCCATCGCCACTCGTGCAGAAGGTTGGTGAGTGTTAATCAAATCATTGTTTTCTAATGTTTATCGGGTGACCAGGATCGAGCATTGTTCGCTTACACAATTAGTTGATTTCCCTTAATTCCGAATACCTGTGTCGTCGTGTGTTTCCCGGGGGGGCTCGGTATGACCTAAGTGATCTGAGCCAGCAGCTGAGAGGGACATCTCGCGCGCTTTCCCTTGATGTCCTCTTGATGCTGGATGGTGAGCTTTAGGCTGGGATACGTTAGTAATTTCCTCGTGCGCTTTTCCTTGGAGATCTCCGACTACCCGCCAGCGGTTCGAGTGTGCGCATTCCCATTCGGACCGCCATTTTTAATCAATTGTCGCGTAAGGTAATTGCGCGAAAGCCTGACTCGAAGGTGTTCCGGCACTCGATCAGTCTCCTTATCCCGCTCGATCTCCACCGACGGGCGTCTGAATTATATTATCGTTATGCTATCTATTGCTGTTTTTTGTGTTTACTACCTCGAACTGCTCGTCCATTCATTCGGCTCTTAGTGTGTATGCATAAGGCAAATAAACAAAAGAAGGAAGGTCGTGTCTATAGAGACTCGCTCCCATGTTATTTATACATCCTATACGTTACTTTTACACAATATGAAAGTTTATTTGACAGTCGATCGAAGGAAAATAATAAAGTGTTTATATATGCCTGTAACGTCTTGAGAATTGTTATTAATTCGAAATATGCGTGCAAATACAAACATCCGTTACCAAGTAAAATATCCCAAATAATCTTTAAACCTACAAAGACAGAGATGTTTACATTGTAACAGATGTTATATAAGGACACGATACTAAAACTTTTCGTATAGAACAAGAAAGCAAGTTGAATCATCAATGTTTTTGCAAAAACTTATTGCTGATATATTATACAAGTTTATAAAGTGTATTATAGATTTATAATATATTTTATATGGGGTATAACACAAGGAATAATAAAAATAATATTTTATTTTCAGATTTTAATATTTGACTTGTGCCTTATCTGCACATGTACGCGTATCATTGGCCGCGTTCAGCAGAAAAAGTTGCTTACTAAGCGCTTAGTGATTATCGTTTCTGATTGGTTCATTCCCCTGGATTTGTTAAAGATCTAAAAGAATACTCCAATCATAGATAATAATCTATAATTACTAAGCGTTTAGTAAGCAGCTTTTTCTGCTGAACGCGGCCACTATATTCCTCCACAATTTTTTATGTTTGCTATATCATTTATTCTTAACACAAAGTGCGGAACATCCTTTGATGCGAGTATCCTTAGTGCTAAGTTCCCCTATAATAAAATAGAAAATTACTTAGCGAAATGGAATATGTACAGTCTATTACGGTCCAACGTTCTATATAGTTGGGATGATTACATGATAGGATATTCGTAACTATACACTACCCCGAAGACACTGGCGTAGGACTTATTGTAATCATCTTCGACTACCTTAACGTTAACCACGCGACAAAAAAAATTTCATTGACGATATTAGTCATTATTTTGCAATATTAATAATATTTCGTACACTGAAAGTGTCAAGTGGCCGAAACAATTTCAACGACAAATGCTCATGCTAAAACGCATAAAAATTTATACAGAGGAAGAGAGAACGAAATTCCTTTTTTCTTTTTTTGTGCCCGTGCAAAGCGAAACAAGCTGACGTCTATGTGATCGAGGAGAAGTTTGCACCCTCGCCTTTAGCGAGAGTTTCAAACTTCGGGTATTATGCCACCTACGAGAATGATATCCGGTTGTTATCTGGTTGTACACGATCGAATTTCGAGAATGACGGGGAGAGAAGGATTGGCACCTTCACAATGCGTCCACGTTTCGTTGATGAGATAGCCGAGAGACTCGATCGAACTTGGACTTCCGGCTTTTCTGCAGTCGCGGAAAGTCGCTAGTCGCGATCGTGTCGTCAAGTATCGCGGGCCGATCTTCGGATACAATCGGACATTGTCAGGGAGAAAATGATGAAGAGTGAAAAATATATCGGTGACGAATACGATGATTTCATCAAGCCCGTCAGAATGGCTTCTAAATTAATTTCCATTTGGCCATTAGAAAAGAATCATACTGCCAACGCATTATTTCTCAACAATTGCTACTTGATTTGGTTACTTTTTGTGGTGTGTATTTTTTAAATTTCTTTGATGAAAATTCCGCTCGAAAAACAGACAGCCGCGAATCACCGGAATTTGAGAGTGAGTTTTTACTCTTATGGAGGGAATTTTCCATACTGCGAGTTATCGAATTCTTTTTCATTTGAAATTCAAAAGTGAATCTAACGTGATTTCGCTACCACAGGAACAAATTCATTTTAATTAACCGAAACATGTTTGTCCAAATAAATTAAAGATCTATTCCGTTTGAGTGGAACGTTTATCCTTGTGATTAAGAGTGGCAGTGTTTTCGTCATTATATCTTTGAATACATTTGAATACATTTGAATACATTGTAACAGCTATATTCGACGTGCGTCACTGTGACGGCCGATGCGATTTATCACGCTGACGATTTGGACGAATTAACGGAATGCGCTCTGCTTTGTTCCGCTTTTTATCTTTCCGTGATACGTCTCATCATCTATTCGCTTCATCGAAAGGACATGTTATACGTGGTTGAGATCATGAGAAAAGATTGGGTTACATCGTCTTATGAGGACAGGATTGTCCTGAAGAAGAAATGCGTATATGCGTTCCGACTAACGAAATACTTCACAATTATGGTAGCTGCAAACGTAATTATGTTTTCGTGTGTGCCGATATTAGAGGTACGTGCGAGGTGTATCATAAATAAGATCCTTTTTCGTCGTTTATGCTTAGAAGGTTTTGAAATCGATGTATTTTTAAAATTTGTCGGAACATTGGATGGATAGAATCGAAAGGAAGAAATAAAAGCGGAAAATAAAATAGAAATAATAAATAAATGCATACATAATGCACGCGATAAAAGTAAAGGAGAATAAACTATAAAATATTAGGTCTTCGTAAAAACATTTGTTTTGTATTTCATGAAACAACGGCGACGGATTGGCATATGTAGAAGTATACGATATAACGCAACGCATACGTTTCACGTTGACATTTACGAATTCCATTTTTTCCCTATAAGGTACCGCTTCCCCGAAATCGTTTATTACCGTTTCGCAAATTTTGCGGTAGTGCCCTTACGGCAGCGAATCGTTTTCCGATGGTCGTTTCACTTTACGAGCCTTTCGAAAACACCTGCACGCACACGTGTACGCGCGCGAGACGTTAATCCTTTAACTGTATTTATTTCTCCGATACGTGGGGAATTTAATTGTTAATAAATCAATAGCGGAATATTTACCGAATTAGAAATGAATACGGTGTAATTAATAACAATCAGTCCCAAACGGTGTAATTAAATGGAATAATAGGAACGGAATAATAATAAACATCTCGACAATCTCGATCAATTATTTCTGCTTTTGATCTTCTATTATTGATCGATTTTTGATCGATTTTGGATCGATGAATTGTCATTCGTCTTCGGTGAGATTTCGTTTCAGGATATTTTGAGGGGACCAACATTTGTTTGATCATCAGACTTATCTTCTGGATGCGAAGGAGAAGGTTCTGCCGTTTCGTGGCTACTTCTTCATTAACCAGACAGTCTCGCCCGTCTACCAATGTCTCTATGTCTTCAACGTAATGGCCGGTAGCTATGGAGCTACCACAATAAGCAGCGTAACCGGTTTCAATCTGATCGCGATAACGCACGGATCGGCGAAATTCGCGGTGTTGCGAAGGAAGCTCGAGTTGATGAGCAGCGACGACCCCGACGTCAAGAAAGTTGTGGTGGATTGCGTCAAGTGTCATCAAGACGCTATCACGTAGGTCTCGATATTACATCGCAATTGAGTTTTCTAAATTTCTTCGAGTGAAATTCCAATCAGAAAGCAGAGCGAGACAACCGAACTGTTCAAATTCGGCTGACTTTTCACAAATATAGAGTGAATTTTTCTACTCTCAATCGTGAAGTAATTTGAATTTTCACGCCTCTGAGTTTTCAGTGAAAACTCAGAATTATATAATGAATTTTAAGTTTCAAAATCGACGAATTGGATTGTGCGAACAATTTTTCTCGTTCTGCTACAGAGAATAATTTACGAAGAGAGAGAGAGAGAGAGAGAGAGAGAGAGAGAGAGAGAGAGAGAGAGAGAGAGAGAGAGAGAGAGTGCGGAACTGAATAAAGCTAAAATTAAATTAATATTTATCGAACCAATCGTTGACTCGGTGTATCATTCGCGACAAACAGTATTCTCGCGTAAATATATCGATTTGTTTATACGGCTAGTCCATAACGTTTTGTGCATAATAATTATTGCGATTATCGTCGTTCATACATCCTCAATTTTCTCCTTTCAGCTTCGCAGACACACTGGAAAGACTCATAAATGTCCTGGTACTAGGACAGTTTGTCATCAGCACCGGTCTGCTGTGCTTCGCGGGATTTCAACTCACCTCGGTGAGCGCTGAAGGATGTTTATTAAGAAGGCAGTATTATTGCAAGATATGGTTCTAGATGTTGAAGAACAAAGGACGCTTGATGAAATACTCGGTTTTCTTGAACGCCGCGATCCTTGAGATTTTCATGTTCAGCTTTAGCGGAAATGACTTAATGACTGAGGTGAGTGCTCTTTTCGATCATTTTCAATCGCATGGTTAAAATCTGTAAAATTTGCTCGCATATTTCTTTTTGATTTTATTTTTTGGAGTTTGCAAAATGCTCACAAATTTACACGAGAGATATTGTAAATTGAAATTTATGCGAAATTTACATATTTGATAGATTCAAATGTATCGTTGCGCTATTATGCGAGTTTCCACTTGAGCAAATTCGCTCTCTACGCATAATCTATTTTACAATTTATTTATAATATATATATTTTTTTCACAACATCTTACTCTCCGTACATAATCTGTTTTACAATTTATTTATTATACATTCTTTCACAACATTTTGAATGTACCGAGACATTGAACGGGAGTGGCGTAAACGAGCGCCGGTAGATTTAATGCACGACAATTTAGCGTCGATCGATTAGCGACGCACGGAACTTCATTGCTGCGCAGTCAACTGATCTCGTAATCGCTTTTAATTAATTTACGGCAAACGCGCTTGTAACGGACACCAGAGTGACGCCGTGGGCGAGTCGGCTTACAGTAGCGGTTGGATCGGCGGCACTTTTGGCCGAAGTCTGCAGATCATGATGTTACGGTCGATGGTTCCTTCCAGGATCACTGCCGCCAAATTCTACAGCATGTCCCTCCAAAGCTTCACCCAAGTAAGCGGCTGTTACTGCAGCGTGGCAGGCTAATTAAGGCGGTATTTAAAACAGCGTTTTAAACTGTGTGTTAATTACATAAGATCAATTTATGGAATAATTGGATTTTCGCGGACGTTGAAGAAATTTTACGTTAAACTTGGTAGACATCTGTTTGTTTGGAAAGCCGAATCGCAAGAGATTTATCGTAGCTCACGCTATTATCTTTTACTACAAAGAAAGTACACACTCTTTTGCGCTGGTCGCAAAGTGCAAGAAAATCCGAGGAATTAATTCTTCCAACAACGAAGGTAAATTCTATCAATTTTCCGAAGAGTAAGGAGAGTAATTGTCTCTCGTGTGTCATCTGCAAATTCGCCGTTAAAGACAGGAGAACGGGCGAATGGGAAGCGCATCGCGAGAGAAATGGTTTTGTTCTTCCCAGGTGCTCAGTACATCCTTCTCGTACATGATGGTTTTGATGGCTACGAGCGACGAATAGGGATCAGCGCGGCATTGGCAATCCAGCGCGGGCTCCGTCTCACAGAGAATACGCCAGTCGAAGCCTGTCAGCCCGAAAATACACGCGAGGATCAAAGGGGGCCCACGTGAAAGTCGCGGCGCGCTCTCAAGATCCGCATAAAAGGCGGATGAAGAAGCCGCGGGGCTGCGGCGGGATGAGGGCCGTATGGCGATACGCGAGGTGAAATACACCCCGTAACGGCCTCCGAGAACTCCTTCTGTCTCTCCCCCTCTTTCTCTCTCTCTCTCTCTCTCTCTCTCTCTCTCTTTCTCTCTCTCTCTCTCTCTCTCTCTCGACTGTACGTGTTCTGTTAAATATGAGACATAGCCCAGCGCTTTCGGGCAAACGCAGGCACAGCAAATTGCCTTCTGATTAATTCTCGGCCGATAGAAGCACGTTAAACTACGGCAACGGTCGCCACCCCCGCAGCACACTGACCCAGTAACTCCGTTAAACAGCGAGACACAGTGGCGACCGTACCCTCATTGCACAATACGGTAGCGTAATCGGCGATACCGCAACAACGACGATTTGTCCTTGCCCGCTCTGCCGAGTGTGGTCTATTAAATTACAGGTTGATTCGTAAGTTGCAACGTGACCCTGCGACGGAGCCCGACCGTAAAGTTCAGGAATTGCGATTGTACGTATCGCGATGTCGATCTCGACGTCAGCTCGCTTCGTCCGAAGAAGATCGCCCGTCCTCGCGCACCGCCAGCTTCCTTGAGAGATCTGAGATATTTTGGGAAAATTATTTTTTATTCTACCGACTTGTATAGATCCTGAAGTTCTTCTATCTGTTATTTTCTTTGCATGTTTGCGATCCCTGGTATCCTTTTAGACGTTCACACATACTTGGGTCTTTGAAAGCGCGGGTCTTTTTTTCATAAACTTTCGCGTAGAATTTTTATATCTTTGAATTCATTAGTCCGCAAATATCCTAGTCCCATTTCAGGGGTATCCTTCGAGTCTCTCGACCCTTGCTTCAATGTATTTTCAAGCTCCAGCAGTTGAGACCACGTTCTTGATTCAGCTATTGCCGGAATATTGCCCCAGAGATGAGTCCGGTGGTATTCTTGAATCTTCGCGTTAGTAAATTCCTTTCAGTCCTTCGATCTTCGAGGAGAGCGCTTCTCCCGCACCCCGCTAATGATATTATCAACGAGCGACGTGTTATGAAACGCCTTGTACACAAAACTCACCGGCGACTCGCGATGCTCCCTTTTCCCGGGCTCTGGTGTCTTCGGGGTCAAAGAGTCGGGTAACGTCCGGACGAAATGACACGGTGAGGCTTCGTCGAGGTTCTCGCTCGCTCGCTCGCTCATTCCTGGTGGGGTAAACCACGAGCGGGATGGTCTCGGGAGCGACTCGAGGGTATTTTCATCGCGGCAGTGCAACACGTGCACCCGGTGCAGCCGGTGCACGCATTCGCCTCGACTACTCGTCGCCAGCTTGCGCTACGGGACCCATCGCCGTGCGGCAGCGGCCCCAGCCAACCTCCTGGAAGATGCGAGTCCCGAGGAGCTGGTGATCACGTGTCGCCCCGTCGCCTCGATCGGCTTATTTCTTGTCGACCGATCAGCGGGGGCCGACGTTCTCCGGCGAGTAACGTCATCGGCGAGATGCGGCAGGCCGGATGACGTCGCTCGTTGTCGTCCGTGAGACGGCAATATGGCGAATATCAAGGTGGCTGTGCGCGTGAGACCGATATCTGCTAGGTGAGTGGAAGACACTTTTATTCTGATGAGATACATTGTAGTCTTTTAATTTGGTAACACTATGAAAGCGGTATTACGTACTGACGTTTGCGAGATCACATCTGCTTGCCGAGCGTAGAGAGAAAAATGTTTGATATATGTGACAATGATCGCACAGTGAAATAATTATAGTCGGGAAAACTATTTTCGTGGTATAAATGCTGCTGTGATGCTAGTGACAACAAATCTGTGCCCGTACGACACGTTCCTCTCAGTGCACGGCACGTTATGCGAGTTAGAAAGAACGAGCGAGCGAGATCGTATCGATCAATATCGGATTAATAACTCGCGCGATGGGCCTTGTAAAGATATTATGGGAAAGGTCAAGTGAGAGAAGATGAAGAAATCATCAGGGCGAGATGACGAGTCGTATTTCTCAGCTGAGGTACATTTTTAGCTGAGCGTGTCGCTAATGAAGCTGAAAATAATTTAGTTTCTTCCGTCGCAGTAGATATTCCAGTTAGCTTCCCTCGAGTTTGTCACGTTTCTTCGGGTCGAACTGGTGTAAGGAAGGAAATGCCGCAGACCAGAAGTTATTACAATTATAACTTGCAATTCTCGTACCATTATATATAGCTTATTGATTAAGTTAATTTTGATGCTCGATAAATCTCATTTCTCTAGGTGACGACTTGACGGCTGTAACGGCGATGAAACATGACAATTACATTTTTTTTTGCGAAGGAGACGGAAGAAACACGTTCGCATTTCGCATTTCGTATTTCTGAGAGGATTTAATCGTCGCGACGGGAAAATCGTGTCCTCCTCCGTCTTTTTTTGCCTTCGCGCGAATTTCGAGCGAAATTGTACCAATGTGGGTCAAGGTTTACGGCTTCTTTCGCCGTACTTTTCTCAGCTGGGTATATAATACGGGTACGTAATATTTCAGAAGGAGGATGATTAACCTAGCGATAATCTCGCGTTATTTTCACGCACTGGTACCGGCGCGAGTAATTGCGGAAGATTATTATAGCGACGAGAGGTTAAGCCGTTCGAGCGATAGGAATACTGAAACGGCAACGAGACTTTCTCTTAAAAATTGTCTAATTTCGACACTGGCGAGAGTCAAGGTTTACGACTTGACTGTATTTTGCAAAATACACGTTACTTTTATGATCTGGGCTTACCCGAGTTCGGAAGATGCGTCGTAGGATCGTACACGTGTCAGAAACTTCCGCTCTCGGATATACAATTGAATGTTAGACTGATAGACTTTTTTCAATTTTTTAACTCCACAGTTTGTAGAGTCAAATTCTCAATCTGGGAATCTATATTTGCCGATCTCTGTATTTTTCAACGTTTCAAGTTGCATAATTTGAGGTACATTTAAGTGTCTTGTAGTCTGAATGCTACAATGTTTGAACATTTACGATCTATAATCGATTTAGTATCAGAAATAAAGAATTATTTGCGCTCTTGAATTTTTGCGTTTTTCCAAAAACGAGTCTTCGCAATTCTTGTGTCTCTCGACACAAGCCTGCGAAGCCTCTTTTTCGACCCATCTTTCGCTGTGAAATTTTTACAAATCCTCAATTTACGTACTCGCGCGCAGCCGCTCCGTGCAAACACTTATAAACTCGTCTCTATACTTAGACTACTAGGGTAGCGGCAAAAAGACGATCGTGCGCGCCCGTCCGCAAGCGGTAGGAGGCGACTCGGAGCCACCGGAAGCGCAGACGAAAGCAATTGAGCGTCGAGAACTTGAGGACCTTCTGAGAAGATTTCTGTCGCGAGTTATTGCGCGCTTATTCACGGTACAAATCGTAATTAAAGCGTGATTCATTGCGCCGGTGCACCTGGCCGCACGTTGTGCCACAGTCGAATAATTTAAGGAAGCTTAATTATGGATCTCCGCGGCTTCGCGCGCCCGTCGAGAGCTTGCACGACTCTTGAATATTTCAGCGATGTATCGCCATTATACTTTCGATAAATTGTATTGTTTCTCGAAAGAATGCAAGTGTGATGGAGAATAAATGAGAGAGAAAGAGAGAGAAAGAGGGGGGAGGGGGAAGAAGTGTGGAGATTTTGACGAAATTCTGTTGTTCGAAAAGACGATTATCGTCGTTCTACGTGCGTCCCTGCACACAATAGTGCGAATCAAGTACAACTGGTATTTAGACTCTAGCCGTGGGTATTTAAAGGCACAGAATGAGGTCTCGTGAAATTCGTTTACGACAGGAAATGAATGATTTTGCACGGCGAAGTCAATTACGCGTGACCATGCAAGCATTCCAAATTTCTCTCGAGCTTTACTCGTGTAAATAGCGTATTTAGCTCGCTAACGTGTGTGTACACAGTAAATCTTCGGTGCTCACGGTTTGTAACCTCTTTTTTCAACATTTCTCCTCGGAAATTAAATCCGTGAATTCATTCAATCTCGAATTTCTTCTGAAATTTCTCATCGAAATTTCTTATCGTTTAATATGAATCTTACAAATCGCACGTTTTTTATTCGTTATGCCTACTGACTGTTTTTATCTTTCTTTCTCTTTTGTTTCTTTGTGAATTATAAACACGCTTGCTGTTTGCTGCTCCCGATTGTACGCATAGTAGGTCGCTTAATGATTTCGAGGGAAGAGAGGCTCGAGTAGGTCCATGCTCCGAAAATACTCCCATTGACTTAGCGTGGGGTTGCCGTATGGGAGACGTCGGGAACGGGACCATGGTTTGGTGTGAGGACGATCTTACGTTGACAGACGCTGCATCCGTTCCGTTTATAGTAGCCGCGGCGGTCTGACAGGTACGCGTGTACTGTCTTAACACGCCGGTATTGTTATTTTCGTGCCATCGCGCGCCGAGAATCGAGGGTATGCCGGTTCTTTGTACGTCACATGCGAGGCGCCCAATGCGAAATGAAACGGGATAGAGGGTCACGCAAAAAGTCTCAAAAATATGTAAATTCGTTGAATAGTGCGAAAAGTAGTGTATTGCTTCTTTTTCTTTTATATTATTCTCCCCTAATTTTAATTTTGATAAACGTTACACCGTTGCTCCATCTCTTACGGAAATTTTCTAAAGCTGGGTTCCTTATGTAATTCTTGAAAGCAGATATCTGGATATATAAATGCATAGGAAATACGGTATACGAGCGTGTGCGTGTATTTATTATTAAATTATGCTCCCAACTACGTATCTTCGTGCTATCAGGAATTCAGAGATCAAAGGATTCGAGGATCTGAAAGGATAACGCAAAGATTTATGAAATCAAATTTCCTTCGTTTCAACAAATTAAAGTGGATCGATAAAAGCGTCGAATTTACGAGAGAGGGAAGCGGAGCTGCTTGTGCAGAGAAGAAGATTATCTAAATCGAGGCTTAGTAAAAATAATATTCCCTAAGTCCATTACACCATTCAGCTTGTCAACGAGCTTGGAAACGATTCGTTTCTAGCAAGCTCCTCCTCATGCGTTTAAAGCGCAAAGATAAATAAATAGAGCGCAGATGACTTAGCTGCAGCATCTTCAATCACGATATTGTAGATTCCATATTATATACACTTTAAAAAGCACTCACACATTTTCAAATTATATTATTATAAATTGTGTTATGTAATTAATTTAGTTCACACAATGTGTGTAATTTAATTTATAGTTTCTTATTTAATTTTCTTCGGTGCTCATCGTAATGCTTATTTCTCACATTATGTTTTTTCACATTATGTTTATGTTGAAAGTAAAGAGATCCCAATGCACGTTCGTTTGACTTACGCTAGTTGACGCTAGTTGACGCTAAATACGGTTAGTTGATTTTACTTCACGTCGCACGGTCGTCTTTATTATTAAAATGAAACAAAAACAGCGATGGAGTTTATAATTTCCACTCGTTACCTTTTACCTGAAAACCTGAAAATTTTGGCGTTTATATTTCTTCCGTTTCGAAGAGAGAGAATGTCACGGCTCAATTGTCTTCCGCTTGTGCAACATATTGCAATGGATAACTCAAATTTTGTGCTCGCAACCGAAACACGAAGCGAGGCACGAAATCGTGCCGCGTGCGTCCGAATATTAGAGCTCGGCAAACTTAACAGGACCGATAGGATCACGCGAAAGCCGGGGTTAAAGTACCGCATTGCTCCTCTGGCATTCCAACGTGCGCTCGCTATATCGCGCGAGGATATCGCGTACATAATCACGCCTGCCGTTTGTCCCGGCACGCAAAATGCAGCACCACACGACACCGGGTTGACCCGAAAACGCGAAACCGCGACCGCGCGTCCGTAATTCGCGATGTAAACCGCGCGTTCGGCGCGGCTCGATTTCTATGGAACTTGTTGCATGCGACTCGTCTTCGAAGCTCGGAAGACATCCAAAACTGCGCTACCTCGTTTCTTCTTATTATGTAATCGGAGGATTTCTCCTTTCCGTGAGTAATCGCTGAAATGCCGAGATCCTGCATCTCTGTGAACTTCTCGTTCATGGAATCTCTTCATTCTTCTTTTTTTTTCTTTTATTTTTAACAATAGTCTCCAACGATCCGGAGGAAATATCAAAGACGTTACGAGCGCTTTCGAATCTACCAGCTTTTTGTTCTCGCGATAGATATGAATCTCTCGGGAAAAACGTATCTGCAGCCGTATATATTCGATATAAAAACAGTTAATGGAATATGTTGTGCCGCGAGTTTAAAATTAAGAAAATATATTAAAGCCTAAAGAGATAATTTTTCTTCTTTAATATAAAGCAGCTGAGTAAGCGTGGCTGTGCGGTCGCGCAGAAAGCTTTGAGAAAATCGGGCAAAGCCCTCGATTAAATAATACGGGGGGAGGGGGCGCACACCCCCGTGTGAAAGCGACGCACGGTGCACTGCCGCCACCGCCTCCGCTGCCGCTTTTCGATGAATCGATTCCAATCCACGAAGCATGAAAAAATGTGCTTGGTAAAAAAGAAGGATAGAATAAAAAGAGCGGTAACACGTGCCGACGAGGAAGATGATAAAACGATGCGGCTTCGAAAATGTTAGCGAAGTTGTCCATTGAGCGCTCGCGGGTTCATTGACCGTATCACTTCCTGTCTCTTCCCGCGGGGCTCCTTTGCAAATATCTCGACGATATTCGGCTCTTATTTTTCTTCTTTTGTTGTTGAAGCAAGCAATTTTTTTCACTTGATCCTTTGTGACGAAATGGCTCGTGTGATACGTCATGAAGTTTGAGTGTGATTGGGATTGTTAGTAATTAATAAGAGTTTTGTTACATTACTAAAATACAAATTCGCTTTTACTCTGAAAAGATTCGTACTGTTTGAGCGGGTTTTTTATTTTTGAGATCAAGTAGTACTTTTGAAATTATTACGTAATAAAATACCAGTTTATGTGATCCTGACGCATCAAATGACATTTATTAGTTGGTACTATTCTTGTCCCAGGCTCATTACCGATACAACGAGTTCGACTAAATATGCAGTAATAACGTCCATCTTTTAATTGCGCAGGGAATCAAAGCTGACCGGGTCCCAGGTGGTGGTCCGCGCGGAATCGAGCGCAATCTCCCTGACAAATCTAAAGGTGTCGTCGAGCAAGGCCGGGGATAGTCGTGAGAGAACGCGAAAGTATGGTTTCGACTATTGCTTCGACTCGTCGGATCCCGAAGCGAAGAATTACGCGACGCAAGCGACGATCTACCAGACCCTCGGCCAGTCCATCCTGGACGCGATGTTCTCAGGATACAATTGTTGCCTAGTGGCTTACGGGCAGAGCGCATCCGGCAAGACCTACACCATGATGGGCACGAAGGTAACGTGCGACGTGCGTATCTCTCTCTTTCTCTCATAATAATTTCCCGCTGGATTATTTGGACGGGGGATTATCGTTGGAATTTCATGAGCGACTCACCGCATATTTAATTTCCACATTTTAGTTTGCATTCACGGACACGATGTAAAATATATCGGGGTACAACGCGACGCGGCGTGGCGTAACGCGTTTAATATAATTTTCGAACATTTTTCTTAATTCCAGAATTTCAAACATGATTAATTATAAATTTACTTGGCGCGGATTTCCGATAATCACGACGCATGAATAATCAAGCGTTTAGCTTATTTTGACTTTATAATGGCGACACGTTACGAAATGCGCAAATGCGCGAGTGTTAAATAATAATTTATATGGGCATTATGAGTTATATTGTAAACTATTGCAATACATATTTAACCGGCGGGTTAATAATATTAACTTTTAATACGTTAATAATATTATTTTAATGATAATATTAACTTTTGCCTCGATCGTCGATGGCGCTTCCCAATCGCGAATTGCGGATGTTGGCAAACGCATATTCGCGCGAACATCGTACATAATGAAGGGAGAGAACTTCTTCTTCACCCTGCTGTATTAATAATGTTGCCAACATCGTGAAAACTAACTAACCAATTGAAAAAAAAGACAAAAGACAACAAGATCAATAATCCCGTGGCCGAAATTTCGTTCGATGACAGGGACAGAGAGAGAAAGAAAGAAAAAAGGAGAGAAAGAGAGAGAGAGAGAGAGAGAGAGAGAGAGAGGGAGGCGGCCTGTGTGTGGAGGAAATGCATTTGGGATTTCGAGCACACCTGTGTCGTCCGCGAAAATACATTTCGTATTTTATGTCTATTTTATCAGCGTTGTTTTCGCACGGCAGCGTCGCGGAACTCTTTTACCATCTGAATAAACCGGCGATGATGTGTTTACGGGTCAACGTGCAGTGTGCAAATTGTTTCGATTTATCTCGTAATAAATCTGATTGGCACTTTATTTCCATTTTTGTGGGGCATAATAGACCTCTTCCATGCATCGTCGGCCGTGCGCCGTTTTGTCAGTACGCCGGCGGTATTATTTTCAAAAGCGAAACGTGTACGCGCGCCGCGCTAGCCGAATTATTTTGATTTATTTCGCGTTTCATTAATACATCGCGAAATGTTATTTTTTCCTCCCTTCGCATTTTTTTTCGCCTCCGTTTCTTTTTTATTTCCCGTGCGCATACAATGCGGCAGCGGGCGCAATCTATTTTGCTTTTATTCGGCCGAGCAGCGTTCTGTTGTCATCAGTGTTGTACGCACTGACGTTTTCGCAATATTCCCGCAAAATATCCGTTCAAAATGTGTGCATACACACGCGCCCCGATCTGAAAGTTACCGCACGAACGGATCCTGGCTCGAGCGATGTGTTAATTAATTTCGTCGGGAAATCTTATTAACTTTTTAGCGCGACCTCTCGCGCGAAGATCGTGTAGATAATTAATCTTCCCGTCCCGTCGAGAGGATCTTTTGTCTTCCGTGGCGATGATATCACGGTGGAAAAGGATTTGCTGTTAGAATCGCTGTCTTAGCAAATCTATGATTGTACTGAGCAGCGAGTTTCTTATATTACCGTAATTGAGCTTCAGAGCTACGTAAAATTGGTGACTATGTTTAATGAGATTTAATATCAATCTTATACGTAGTTCTGAAATTCAGTTCCTGTAATGTAATGTAAAAAACTGACTGTTCATACATTATAAGCATAGTTCTTTGTACTAACGAAGCTTTTACCGACAAATCTTTCTCTTTCCCGCGCGGAAAATATTTATTTCCTACCCGCACACAACAGCTTCGCATAAAACTTGACATTTTGCATTCTGTCATAAAACGACCGATGCATATTTAAAGCTTCAACAGCATCAATTTGATTATCGGTTGTCCTTCTCTCTCTCTCTCTCTCTCTCTCCTCTTCCTCCTCTTCCTCCTGTTCCTCTTCTTCCTCCTCTTTCACCTCTTTGCCCGCAAGCCAATTCCATTCGCTAAATTATCATATCGCATCGCCGGCTCTAATTGGCCGACAAGAGGGAGAGCGGTGTTCTCGTTGCGGGATCGAATCGATGTTCCGTTTCTCGTCCCGAAAATTTCAAACAGTAAATTGAAACTGTTTTTGCGGAATGGCGCTTAATTAAATTGCCCGCCGACCTCCGCCGTATCCGCGTGCTCGCGCTCGCACGCGCGCGCGCGCAGCCAGGGGTGCATCCGGGTAGTGTTAGGGGATGCATCGTGCGGCGGTGGCGGCGGCGACAGGATGGGTGGGTGAACAGACTTTTAAAAGCGCAGCACGTGTTGCGGCTGTGCAGCGCACTCGTTTGTCGGGCTCCAATTATAAAAGGACGCTTCGAGCGGTGGTTAATAATGCATCAAATTTCGAAATTGACAAGACCCCTCGTTAAGGCGCAGTGCGTTGTTTCCGGCCCGAATAAGCTTTATTGGCCGATCCTGCACGTCGTCGCCAGACGATAAATACTCCCTTCTCATCGATCTTCCTATTGTACCTTTTTCGGAACTTGTGTCCCAATTAATAGATGGCTCGTCGACTTTTTTATGAGGTTAGGAAAAATGAATATCCGCCAATTTCGTCGAGAGAGTTATTTATGACTTGAGAGATCCGCGATATTTAAACACTCACGGCGAGAGATTCCCGGAAATTAGGTTGAAACTTCCGCGTTTTTCCAGGAGGATCCAGGACTTATCCCACGGCTGTGCGAGGGTCTCTTTTCGCGAGTCGAGCAAGAAGACGGTCGTGAGAGGATCTATCGCGTGACTATTAGGTAAGTGCGCATTGTCCAAGAGGGACTTTTTTAAACTGCTCGAGGAATAAACACGCGTACACAGAGCATCCGTGAATTCGCAACTTGAAAAGCCTAAAAAAGCCTTTGCGTTTTTCATCTCGTGTTTTGCAGCGAGGTTTGCGCAGCGGGACGGAGCGAAATATAACGTGCGCGCTAATTCGAGATTCGATATGCATAAACATTGCACTTTTCTCTCACGTTAGTCCAACAATCGTCAGACAGAACAACGGCTCTCATTGTCTTAACAATCGTTGAAAACGTGATTAATAATGCTAGACATTATTGTGCTTCCCTCTTATTATCAGAGATTATAATCATTCCCGATATTCCGGTAATGCAGCTAATAAACGCGATAAGAACGCCGGGGAAGACCGCAAGTTCTCGTCGATACCATCGACAGGGAACTTTCCGATCGCCACTTAAAATGCTCCAAGTACGCTGATACTTTGTACTAAGTACTCGGAGAGATACTTGCGAGCGGTGTTGCACGTGCCTTTCTTTTTTAGTCGCCGGAAGTTCGCCGCGTCTCACCGCAGCTCCGATGAAATCTGCTTGCATTCTTTTATTTTCCGCGCTTGCGGGGTTGTGTGGCTCCGGATCTTCTTGAATATATTAATCCACCCCGAGCGATCGACTCTACTCTCTTAAACTTCTTTGTATTCTTCGGATTCGGAAAATTCGAGCGTGAAATTAGAAATTGCGCGTATACACTCTTTCCGTTCCGCTCGTGCGGGAAGTTTCGATAAATTCGCAAGGTGAAATCGTCATAAACTTGTAATTGTTTTTAGAAAAATGTTGACGATATCTCCTTGACTGAAGGAGGAAGGAATTTAATCATTTGGTTCAATCAGATGTTAAAATTGTTTTAAATTGCATCGAGATAACTTTCATCTTGCTGCTTTCTTTATGAATTGATTTATGCACGAGATATTTTATATTGAAACGTTGTTTCTTATATATATATGTGTCGTCATTAATTCTTCAATTCTTCAGTTTCGAATAAAAATCTATACGGCGATTCAGAATAGGCAATATGAATCATTCGAATTCGAGTAACTCGGCTGTCGCTCTATTTTTTATTTAAGTGGATATTTAAGTTTATTTTTTATTTTTTATTTACTCGAAAAAATTTAGAGAGAACACGCTATTTACTTTATTACTCGATATTATACGATAGTAAAGGAAAAATGAAAAATAATGAATTAGGTCAAGATGAAAACTGTAGCGTGCTTTCCTCGTAGACAATATGTTATGTAATATTTATGCCAGGTTGCGATACTGTCGTATTGTTAGCCTGTCTCGAGAAATAGTGTTTCAATTTAATCACGCCGCGAGTCGAATAGATCGGCCTTCGGAGCGCCGATAAGCTGTCCGCCTTGATAACTGTGGGAAAATCAGCAGCTTCGTGGGCCTTTATTCCGCAGACACCGCAGAGATACGTACGTGAAATATGGATACAGGATGATCGAAAAGTCACGAAACTCCGAAGCACACACATGGTACGATATGCGGCGGCGTATATTTATGGAAGTATGTAAATAATACGAGACTGTTGTCGATGCGAGTCTTGCCGGAAGCGGGATTTATAAGCGTGTCATTTGATCGTTTTACTCTCCACCGCACATTATCAGAACAAAGAGAAATATAGCTGAAGAATGAAAGCACAAATAGTCGTATTTTGTGCGTATGCGTGTATAATCGCATTTTCACGGAGCGGTGGGAATAATTTTTGCAAATAGTGAAATAATTCTTTTTTTTATATCGCGCACACGTATACGCTACTTTTTGTGAGATACAAGTGCGATAAAAAATATGTTGATATATTCTACACACATTGTGACAACTCTATGGAACTGAAATATTTTATGCGAAACACCGCATCGTATATGATATATAATAATATGAAATTTACACTATACAGCGCATACGGCGAATTAACCGTAAGCTGCCAGACTTTCTCCATCACATCACACGTTGAATATCACACACACTTGGTATTGGTGATGGTTGCTTTCGGTCAAGGCCCGCCGATCGCATCGCTTTTATCTATTATCATCGATAGCTTCAAGTTCGTTCCTTTCGTGTCGACAATCACGGCGTCGCTTTGGCGTCTAATCGCCTATTGCCAATTGCGGACTGCCGTTCGCGTTACTTTAGAGCTTTCGCGAAAGCTCGCGCTTTGGCAAGTATAATAATGACAAATGTTCGCTGCACAAATCGTTGCGCGCGGCAACGCAAAAGTCGTTTCGCGTGCAGGTTGATCTACCACCTTTTTTCTCTCTCTCTCTCTCTCTCTCTCTCTCTCTCTCTCTCTCTCTCTCTCTCTTTCTTCTCGTCCTGTCGAGGCGCGGATTTACTACGAGTAAATACTACGTATTTATCCCACTTTAATCGCTTCCATATCCTCGTCTCGCGTTCCGAAATAGCTAGCATTCGCACCGGAACAAATCGCTCGCGATAATTGCCAATCGGCAAAAAAAAAGAAAAAAAAATACGCGAGAAAAAATTCGCCGAAACGCACGGCGCGGATCGTGACGTGAATAAACGAATAGCTCAACTTTGCGTATTTTCGGTAGTCGTTATATTCGCGGATAGACAAAATCGAGGAGTTAGTTTGCCGGAAAAGCCCGTAAACGACAAGCGGATTTGATTCCGCTGTGATTGTTCGTGTCGTTACGTGCGCGTCGAAGAGAGAGAGAGAGAGAGAGAGAGAGAGCTCGTCGAAGATTTGCAGAACCAATTATCGCGGAAACTAATTTTAGAAATCCGATTGCGCAAAGTTAAGCGCGCACAGTCCAAAGTTGTCCCGATATTTTTCGTTCGAGTGACGTGCCGAGTCCAGATTTTCGGATTTAAGAGCTTCACTTTTCGAATACACCTCGAACTGTACATCCTCGTACTGGTAAACAACAGGATTCTAAACAATCGCGGTGGGTTACGTTAACATCGAGAGTCGTTCGTCTATCTACCTCGCAGTTTGATCGGACGGTGGCAATTCGAACGACTCGGGCTGCACGTTTAGAAGGGAAAATATTGCAAATGAGGCGACGGGTTGCGGGCGGGCGACGGTGGGTGGGAGGGACGATAGACGTAGAGTCGAGCTTGCGAGTCGCGTGGCTTGCGAGCGCGGTCTGCTGGCCTGAATGTGTCTTGCAAGCTCAGTACCCCGTGACTCGCAATCCCAGACGGACGCAATCTCGCCGCAGTCGGGTAAGAATGCACCTCGAGCATGCATCGTTGAATTCCTTCGTTTGCTGCGTTTCGACCAGAAAAAGCACGGCGAGCTTAGTTTCTCGACCCGCCTGACTCACCGGCGTATTGCCTCTCCGCACGCTCCTAGACGCTTGGCTACCTCGGATCCTCCGATCCCCGTGCGTCCCTGCGACTTTAAAATTGCAAATCGTATTTTGAATTTATGCCGCTTGAATGACGAAGTCTAAAACGGTCTCGCTCTCCGGCAGCTTCAAATTTCTCGAGGTGGAGACTTGCCTTTGTGAATTGTGGGATTCGGGTTCCCTGAATCTTTTCGAGTGTTTACACTTATAGGGTGTACTTTTTGTAAATTCAGATTCGTAAAATTTCCGGAAATTTGCATTATAAAATTTCTAGACTATCCGACTTTTAGTTTCTCAAGCTCTGCGATAATCGAATTTCAAGATTCTCAATTTCTCGGATTCTGAAGAGCTCAGATTAATGAATTTCTGAGATTCTGGCCCTCCGGGTCCTCTGGGACTCGTGGGAGAGTAAACTTTTTGAATTTTCAAGTGATATCAGATTTTCAGGAATGCATACACATCCTTAGATTTGTGCTTTTGCTTTCGAGGATTGAACTTCTAATCTCTTAAAAGTTCCTCATACTTCGACTATTGAACATGTCGCTTCTTTCTTTTCTTTTCTACAAACCTCACGGAACGAGGCGACGGTGGCCCGCGAGGTCCTATTAGAATTGCATGCGTTTAGTGTAAAGTTTAGCGTATGTCTATGAATATTTAACGGCAATGACATTTTTTACATGTCTGTCTGCGAAACCGATACGTGGTTCTATTATTAAATATGCGCAAAAATAATCGACTTAAAAGTCGTTACACCGTCATGATAATTTTTGAAATCTCATGGAAAACGCACTCTTTATCACGATCTTTGTTACGCGCTTATAATTTCGCAAATTTAAACGGTTTTGCTAATATTTTTTATCAATATTATTAATATAATTTACTAATTATATTAACATCGTTTTATTAATACTTCTCTTCTCTCCAACACACGCGCTTGCGTTTAATTGCATACGTAAGTGAATGATTAAGGGGATAAAGTGTAAATGATAATCGCAGAGTGATAAATATCGGAATCGGAAAAACATGCGAAAGTATCCCGCTCCCCTGCCGGGCTCATTTATCTTTCTTATCTTATTCCTCTTACAATAAATTACTCAATCCCAGCTGGGAACATAAGTAATGATTATTAATGAATATACACATCAGATTAGTCTCCATTGTGTGAAATATTTCACGAGGCAGAACTTCTCACTGTAGGTGCGGGTGGCTCATGTATACATCGAGTACAGCAGCGAGTCTACGGTATAGAAGCGGAGCAAAATTCTCCGTGATTAACCCACCGAACGGAAAGTATCTTGAGTGTCTCGACTCTCGGCTCGGTGCTAACTGCACACGCGGCTTGATATCGGGTTGATAGGAAAAAGCGAAACGAACCGCACCGCGTCCCATTTCGAGGCCGATTCCATCGGGCCGTCAGCGCCTGGACGTAAAATCGTTAAGTGGGTCGAGCAAGAAAGTTCGTCCATCGAGGCGCTTCTACTCACCGCCACCGTCGCCGCCGTCGGCTGTTTAGGGGTAAATTAAATTCGCCGTATAGACACGTCGCAAAAAGAGGAGAGAGAATAAAAAAAGGAAGAACGCGTTCGCGTTCGCTTTATCGAGCGTGAACGATCTCTGCGAGTCGACAAATCGAAGAGCGTAAGT